GAGAGAGAGAGAGAGAGAGAGAGAGAGAGAGAGAGAGAGAGAGAGAGGGGGTGACAAAGAGAGAAAGAGCAGAGAGCATTTTTCTTTAGCACAGTGAGTGGGATCACAAAGAGATTTCGGGAATCGGAAAACAAAGGTATGCGAAGAGATTTATTCATTAAACTCACGGCCCTTGGCAGAATCTGTATGAATCGGTATCGAACATACCCATGTTTTTCAGATGTTACCTGAGCAAATTATGCCCATTCCAAACGACAATGCTATTATGTTTTTTAAAATCACTTCGCTTAAGGTATATAAAGAACTTAAAAGAGACGCTTAGATTGGCAAAAGACGAGTATCCTTAGTCCTAAGGCCGATTCATATGCTTTTACAATTACTATGCTTAAGGATTATAAAGTCCTTTGGTCACTAGATTTAACATTACTTTTCTTCTCTTTACTCTCCCATGGAAGAAACTTTTGACGGAGAAGCATTTTGCGTAGGCACAGTGAGCTTTACAGGTTTTAGAGAAGTACTTGTTCTTATATTGCTTTTTAAGAGTGAACAGGGCAATTTTATAGCTTTTTTAACAAATATTTCTCTTACACGAGCCACAATTTTTTTAATTTACTCTCTCGTTTGATTCGATTAATATTTCATTGTCATCTCTTCTGCATACTTTCGGATGTTGTAAGCAAAATTAAAAAAATTAAAATACCCTTAGGCTGTTGTGATGGATGTAAATATTTTAAAATAAATAGGCTTAGAAATATATATATATATTTTTGAGAAGATCATAAGGATCGTGCATTTAATTTTCTATTAAAGCTTGGATTAAAAAGCATACAATTAACAGAGTTTTCTTATTTTTGATTTTTTTTTTCTGTATAACTTTGTAATCCACACGATATGCTTTCAGTTTATTGTTAATTGAATTATTAATTTTTAGAAAATATATTTTATTGTTATTTTCATACTAGTATTATTATTATTAAATTTTTGTTGTTTTTTTGATAAAATGTTCTCTATTGTTTGTTTAATCTTTGAATATTGTCCTTTTTTGTCCGGAGGTATGTTTGTTTTTAATATCTAAAAACAAAAGAAAAAATTAGAAAAAAAATTGTTTTATTTTGTACGTTTGTTGCACTTTTCTTTCGAAGAACATTGAACATTAAATATAAATAAATTAAGCTTTGATTACTTTAGCACACGTAAAATATTCATTCATTTCTGTTGAAAGAATTTTTTTCCGCTTTTCTTTTCTGTGATTTGTTTTTTTTTTTTTGCTAAATTCTTAAATCCTACTAAAGCCACTTAATATGCCTGGAACTTGAAGAGATTTGCCCATTGATTTTGTTTATTTTTTTATGATATTTAATCTACAGAAGCTGACAAGTATTTGAATGAAAACGATGGGAGTGACGCCCGTTAGGATGAGTATGACTAGGCGTTGGTGCTCCGTAGCCCGGACAACATTGATGTACTGTAGTGTTCGAATGACGTGAATGACTAAAACTTTGACTACTCGACAATTTACTGCTTGAGGCAGCAACAGCAGCGGCGGCAACGACTTCATGAAGATGATGGCAAGGAGCATGATGCATAGTGGGAGTATGACCATGACTGTGTCTGTAAATTTAAAGAAAATAACAATCAATTATTTATCTGTAATTGTTTATAAATAAATTTCTTAAACGATATCTAACCCATGGCTGCATATACTCGAATCGGATATGGAATTTGCTATGTGAGTGGGTGGAGGAGGTGGTGGTGGCAAAAACAGAAGGCATCCTTCTGTTCGTCTGCCAACACTGGTTCGTGGCTCGGGATTTTTATTGACGCTTCCTTCGTTTCTATTATCTCTATAATACTGTTGTGGTTGCTTTATTTGAAATTCATTCTCTTGGACTTCTTCTATCATTTTATCCAACTTTTCTATGGCTTTGGTTTGTTTGGCTGCCAGATATGCTTTACGAGCTGCTTTGGACATAGGCACTGGCGCCGATTGGGATCTTATAGGTGACGGTGGTGAGTGCTGCGGCATTGGTTCTTTACTGTCTGCACGGTGATCACTAAACGATATAGTTTTAGTTAAAGGTGTTGTTGGTACAACAGCTGTAGTACAGTTTGAAATTACTGTAGAATCCTTTTCTTCTTCAATATTAGTTGATGTCGAATTTGTAGACGGTATTCTAGATGCAAAGATGTTGCCACAAATTATAAAAATTTTGTAAAAAGTAAGCGAAGTTCACAGTAAAAAGCATTGCAACTATGATCAACAATTAATGGGAATATTAATTTAAAATAACTTTTGGGAATTAACTTGAATCTTTCTTTGCGTAAAGAAAAAGCTTAAAAATATCTTAAGTCGTGTAGAGAAAGAGGGCGTGTTTATAGCCTATTTTCCTTATCTCCTTTTACCTACCTTGGATTCTTTTGACCGTCGGAAGCCGGACTAGTGGTTGAACTTCTTTCAACTTTCATACTACAAGTAGTTGTCTCTTGAGGTGGTGCAGTAGCTGGAGGTGTGACTTGTTCCATGGCTGCCAATTCCTCCGGCGTAAATTCATCTGGATCAGTAGGTCTTGGCTTTGGTGGAGCACTGCCAATACGAAAGGGTGGTATTGGACTAAATGGACGTTTTGTACTAGTACTACTGGCAGTGGCCAAAGAACCGCGAGACATTTGTATATCTTCCAAGAATTCTTCAGTGTCAAGTATAAGGGAACCGAATATTTCACTAGGTGAACGCATAAAAACATGACCGGTTGAATTGGAGCGCGATTCGCGGCCTTTCTCCAGGTTCTGTATGGCGGAACTACTGCTATATAAACTGCGTACAGGAGAGTTGGCTATACTGCGCCGTGCTACATCCTTAAATGTTACTGGCGAATAGATGCGACTACGCTCTTCGCTAACGCTTTTTTTAGAACCATCGGCGTTTTCATCCGTGTTATCGCTCGTATTATTATTAGTTATGTTAGCTAAGGTGCGGTCTTTATTAACAGTGGGCGGCGCCGGCATTATAGATTTTGCCGCTTTTTTGCCAGCGAATGCTGTAGCAATCGGACTTACTTGATTGGCCGATAATTGTAATGGCTTTCGATTTTCCCTTTCTTCCAACCAATAGGTTTTCATGGTACCCTTTCCTTTGACATCAATTTCGCCGCGTTCTGTTAATTTATAAATAGGACCAAGAAATTCTTTAGTGGACTCGGATACGTGGACTTTCATAGCCGAACTTGTAGATTCCATGCGAGAGGCCGTGTTAACCGAATCACCAAATAAGCAATATCGAGGCATTTTAAGACCAACTATGCCGGCAACTACGGCTCCCGAATGAACACCGACGCGTATACGTAAATGTTGACCCGTAGATGGGTCTTTTAAATCAGTAATTGCATCAACCATGTCTAAAGCCATATCACAAACTTTCTCGGCATGATTTGCATCTTTCTCAGGCGCCCCAGACACCACCATATAAGCATCGCCTATCGTTTCTACTTTATAAACAGAGTTACGTTCAGTTAAAGTATCAAATATCGAGTACATGGCATTTAACATGGATACCACCTCCATCGGTGTTATACGACTACAAATTTCAGTAAAAGTAACAACATCCGAAAATAATATAGAAACACTATCGAACATCTAAGGAAGAAATATATTTTCAAAAATTATGAGGAAGAGATTAGAAAAGAATAGCAGCTTTCCTTACCTCGCAGGTATCTATAGGGTTTTCGCCTCTTCTCAAACGATCAGCCACTTGCTTAGGTATCATTTGATATAATAACTCATCGGTTCGTCTCATTTCTTCATCTAACTTACGCATCGATTCTTCTAATTTTTTTGATTTTTGTTGTTCTTGATCTAAAGCCAATTTTAATTCCACCGACTGTTGTGTACCGGCTAACATAAGATCTCTGTTTTCGATAATGTAAAGTTATCGATTAACTTTCTTTAATTAGAACTTAGGAGAGTTTATTACCTACTAAAGTCATGCATAGACAAGTCATTAATAAAAAGCCCAGTAGTGATTAAAGAAGTGAGATCAGGCATTACCGGTGTACCTAGGAACATAATCATACGCCAGTTATCCATGTAAACCATTTGACCTAAAGAAATGAATCAATAAATTATGGAAAAAAGAAAAAAAAATTCCTTTCTCATTATTCTGTGTGATTTAAATTGTGATCAGATGCACCGTTAAGCATTGATCAAAAAGTACCAGGAATAGTGTTTACCTTCAATACAATTTTTTCACCTTAACTATCATTTTAATCACCATTTTCCCACTTATGACTTTTTACTTAAAAAAAAAACCGTCGTTAAGCGCTGGGTAAAAAGCATTAGAAAGATTATCAAAAAATCTCGGAATATGTTATAAACATTTTTTTTACTTCAATAAATTTCAATATCATTTTTTAATTTGTTTTTGAATATGCCATTTACACGAAACTATTTTCTCTTCTTGCTTTCGATAAATTGGCAAAAAGCACTGGAAAGATTTAAAGGAGGAGCTTAAGGAAGAAATTACATAAGCTATTCTCTGTTCGACATTTTTACCCAATACAGTACAATTTATCATAGTGGTAGCGTTAAAGTACATACATCGAATTAAAGTTTATATTCCACTCCAAATTCCCGATACTTTTTGATCACCATGTACAGAAGACGCAGAGTGAGTGATGATTGTTGCTTCGATTCCAAAGAGTAAATAACTCAAAAATTTATATATTATGAAAAGTTTTACCTTTTAAACGTAATGATCTTTCCGGTTCTGTGCCATCATCGTGCAATAAAATTTCATTCGTTTTATCGCCATCTATGCGATCAGCCACGGGTTCAACTGTTACCAATTCAAAGATATTATTTGTTCTATTTAAAATCTAGGTAAGCAGTGAGAGTGACAAAGGAGAGAGATAAAGACACAAAGAGAGAGAGAGAGAGAGAGAGAGAGAGAGGGAGAGCATTTTCATCAAGTAAATAAATTATCAAACATTTTCTTATGCATATTTACATACATTAAATAAAAATTGCAATTAAGTATTTGTGCGAAGAGCATAGGAAAAGGCAACGAAAGAAATGCTTTGAAGCAATTAACAGCAGATGCTGACGATGAGTGAATGAATGAATGAGTGAATGAATTCGCTGCAAGTATTATCAAGAAAAAAAATAAGCCACAACTGCATAAACTGTTTCTAATTACATTGAAAATAGTCTTCTGACATGTATGTAAAGTTTACCGTTTGAAATTTGAATGCAATTAAAGGACGCACCAAATCAAACCACGCCGTAATCTTTTTGCCTAACAGTTCTGGTAAAATAACCATTAATGAGTTTCCAATGCTTCTTACAACCATATCGGAACTGCAATAAATTAAATTAAAATAAATTAAATTTAATTTAAAATGTATTAACGATGTAACTGTAAATTATTTTTTTTTTTTTTAAATACTTACCCGAATACTATACAAAATGGAAAAATCTCAAATAAAACATGAGCACTAATTGGCAAATGTTTCTCTTCGCGCGTCATCGCCAATGATGCTAACGTGAACGCTCGATTATCGAAAGTTAACTGAAATGTCACGTGTACGGTATCGAACAGGATTTCTTCGCGCACTAACTCGATATGCATTTCCTTATGATAGAAATGTCGGGCAACTTCACGTATCTGACCCATAGTATAGTAAACAAAACCACGTCGTTTGGAACGATAATGCAAGGTTAGGCCCTGTTTGGTCTCATTCTCGCAAATAAACGATGGTGCACGCATCCGCGGATATGAGAATTTCAGATATTCATGTAAGTTATCTAAACCATTCAAGAAATCACGCATATGACGACCCAACACTGATAAGACACGATCATAACCATATTGGCCGACGAAGCTAACGAAATAAACACCCATTTGATCCATAAATTCTCGTTCGGAAACGCCTAAAACCTATGCAAAAGAAATTTAAATATAGAAAATGAATGATTAGACCGATCTCGAGAAACAAAACAATTTTTTATATGTAGAGAGAGTTTATAAACAGAAAAACGAGTGAAAACACTATAGGGAGACATAGTCCCCCCAGTTAAATATCCTACACCATTTCGTTTAATACAATTATTCATGAAATGGGTTTTCATAAAAAAGGGCATTATGTAGGAAGTGGTCGAAAAAATGGTCAGATTCGAAGCATATTTAGTAGCGTTTGTTCTTGAACCAAAACAGTGATAGAAATAAGGAAATCGAAGAAAAAGAACATATAAAAATACCATAGGGTGACATGGCCCACCATTAAACATCCTACATGACTTCGTTTAGTACAGTTATCCATATAACAGCTTTTCTAAATAAGATTTTATATGGGAAGTGATAGAACAAATGATTCGATCAGAACATTTTTCCATAGCGTTCGTCTTTGGTGCACCTGCAGGCTGAACACAGGAAGACAAAAGAGATAAACAGACAGACGGACAGACAAGTTTTGAAAAACGCAAAAGTGATTCTGAACGGATCGGCATAATAAAGGATGGGCCTATCTTAAGTTCTTCTGAGTGTTGCATACATCCGCACAAATTTAATAAACCCTTGTACAACAAGTGGTATAAGGTATAAATAATTGAAGCTCATTAAGGAATATTTTTACTTTCGCGTTCAATGTGTTAAGTTTCCCGGATATTCAATTGAATTAATATTCAAAAGAAGATTATTCTGAATAATTTTGACAGATTCCTTTTTAGCGCTGGTACTTTGCCCATTTCCACTTTACATCACTAATGAACTCTTAATTGTGCAATCTTAGTTCAGTTTTGAGTTCGACATGGCTAAACCGAATTGAAAAAATTCTGCCAACTAGGAAATCATTGAACTAACTAAGATTGGAGGCTAGAACACAAAAATCTTTAGCTGGTTAGGAAGCGACTAGTTGATTAAGAAGGACATTATAAAACAAGGATGGCTTGAGACTTATTGATAAGTTAGAAGCTGGGCTAGACGAAAGCTGGAGCTGGAGCATAAGTAATTGGTTATGCTGTTGTTGGCTGAAATTAAGTTGAATTATCTGATTCGGAACTGGTTTAAAGAAATCGTCGAAATTATAACTAAAAGAAGGGCTAGAAGAAGTTAGGGCGGCTACAAATGGATTGAAGGACAAACGAAACTGGATACGTATTAGGTGCTTGCAAAAATTTTGATCACCTTTTCACTTGGAAAAGGCATGTACTACGGATACTTGGTACAACATATATTTATCAAAATAGTTTCCATCATTTTATACAAAATTTTGTAAAATTTTTGCAAGATAGCGATCTCATGTCGAAAGAACTTATAGTGGTTTAGAAGCGATCCATCCTTCGACCCATTTTTGTACTACCTCAATTTTGCGGACCCGCGCATCAGCCAAGCCATGCTACTGAACAATTGGTAATAAGGAGGCGCCCTGTCTTGCGAGTACGGCGGGTGTGACAGAATTTCCCTTTCGAGCTGCAACAGTGTATCTTGGACATCTCTTGCAGTAAGTGGTCAAAGAATGGCATTTTCAGTCAATTCGAGTCGCCACTTTTAAGCCATCGAACACAAAACTGACTATTAGTAGATCATGGGGCAGTTTGATGGCCTCCGGCAGTCGATTTCTTCACATAACCAACCACGAATTTGGAAGAAGGGAATCTTAAGGGCTCCATAATTAGCGTCGGCGTACGCTTGCATATTAGATCGAAAACTATTACTTTATGTAGAGCAAGGTCAAACCCATCGAACCATTATGTACATTTCTTTATCATTTTTATCTGTAGATGTCGCTGATCAAAATTTTTGCAAATAAAATACTGGTAAACTGCATAAGCAAAGACTTAGGAAATAAATGAAATCATTAGTAGCTTAGCTAATAGGAATTAAGAACTTTCGAAAAAACTGAATGCATCCTTAAAGAGCGAATGTTCATTTTGAAGTAGGATCCTAGGATACCTGTGGAAGCGTAGTTTGCTAATAGCTCTCCTCAGTCCATTGTCTACTAAAGCCGACAAAGGGTGATAGAAGCCCATACGTTAATGCTGTATAAAGTTTACCGATAATCGCCCTGTCTGTCCCCGTAGAAACTTTCAGCCATCTAAAATTTGCGGCGAATTTTATCCTAATGTATTACTTGTTACTGCTATAATTTACAGGGAATTTTGCGATTTTTTATACCGGTCTTAATTGACGAGTAGTCAAGATCAACAATCCCGAAAGAAACCGTAATCGGATTACCTGGCCTAGTTGAAAAAAAACCTTTAATTTAAAATGGACGGAAGGACAATGACTATAAAAGCGATTACGTTTTGGATCTTGCTTAAGCTTTAATTGTGTTAAAGATCAAAGTATATATATATTTTACATATTAATTGTAAGAATTAAATTTTTTAAATATTCTGTTGGCGTTTGTCATTTTCCTTTTATTAAACATTTGTTTTGCTTACCTGTTGTGCTTTCTTTGCCAATTTATTTAATAAATTCTCGGGATATACTTGATGGACACTGAACGATGGCGAATCAACACCAGCCTGACGTCTTATGTCTTCCCATTTTTCTTCGCCATAGACAGTCTTAACATATTCCGATAGATTCTCCAGTAATAAACCATACATTTTTGCTTTTCTTGTTGTCGATGTCCTTGTCACCTTCGTTTCTGCTTATGATATACTTTCTTGTTGAGAATTCTTTTTATTACTTTCGTTTATATATTTCATTTCACTTTACCACTTAACTCATATTGAAGAAATTTTTTTTTCATTTTTTTGCGATTTTTTTTAATTCATATATTAATTCCCTTTTTATGTTTAATTATTCTGACATCTGTCTGCAATGTACAAGTAAATAAAATGAAAATTAAAGTTCTTTTTAAAATTTATTTACAATTCATATATGTGTATTAATATCTATATGTTTACTTAATGCTATTATATACGCATTATAAATTAATGCTCATGTATGCTGCGTAACTTCATTATGCAGCAAAAAGGAGAAGAAAAATTGCATTTATGTAATAGATATCAGCTTTAATAGGTTTCAAGTATTACGGTACTCGACATGCAAGTTATCTTGAAATTTCAACCTAAATTGTATTTAACTTAAATTGAAGCACAAGGTAATTTGAGCAGATATTGAGCCAACATAAATTGAAACAGAATTGAAATTGAATTAAAGCATAAGCGAATTTGAAATGGAATTCAATTGAAATTGCTTACTAAATAGAATGAGAGTTGGGATTGAGATTACATTGAATTGAAATTGAATTGAACTGAAATTGAAATAATATTAAATTGAAAAATAACCGAGTTTGAAATGAAATTGAATTGAAATTGCTTACTGCATTGAAACGCGAATTGAAATAGAAGTTACATCGAATATCAATTGAATTGAACTGAAATTAAATTAATATTAAATTAAAACGTAAGCCAATTTGCAATTAAAATAAACTAATACTGCTTACTGAACTAAATATTGAATTGGAATTGGACTTGTATTGACTGAATTAAATTGGATTGGAATTGAACTGAAATCGAATGAAACGAAATTGAAATTGAATTACAGTTAAATCGAATTGGAATTCAAACTATGTTGAATCGAAAGGAATTGAAATTAAATGGAAGTAAAATCGATTTGATTATTAAATTGAATTAAATTGAAATTGCATTAAATTGAATCGAAGGGAGCAATGAATTTGAATTGAAATTGAATTGAAATGGAATTGAAATTGAGTTGAATTAAAATTTCTTAATGAGTAAGAAACCGAATTGGATTTGAAGTTATATTGAATTGAAGTTAAATTGAATTGAAATTAATTTGAGATTAAATTGAAATTGCATTCAAATTTAAATGACTTTGACTGAAGTGATAACTGAAATGTAATTGAAGTTGTATTGATTTAAAATTGAATTGAACTGACATTGAAATGAAATTGAATTGAAATTTAAATTGAAATCAAATTGCATTGACCTTGCATTAAAGTTTAAATGAAATTGAATTGAAACTTCAATGGATTTGAATTGAAATTGATTTGAACTTGACATTTCAATTACAATTGAATTCAGTTGACATTGAAATTGAACTGAAATTGAATTCAGATTTACTTTCATTTTAATTCAATAATTTCCACTCTTTTTCCAAGCAGGCATCGATTATGAGTCTGATAACTACTTTTATGTGTTCCAAAGGTAATGATAAATTTGATTTGCATACATCTTCTGATCGCAAACATCATATTTATGCTATTCCTTCGATGATGAGTATTATAAAAAGTGCATTCAAGCCTGCTGCGAACAGCTGCTTCCTGCCTGGGCCGGTAAGGCAAACAGAGGCATAAACCGAGCGTGAAAAAAGTCAAGATAAAAATATGCTAACTGAACTGCAACTGTAACTGATTTTCGTAAGAATTCATTTGTGGATGAAGTGTGCATTGAAGCAGAAAGAATTAAAGATTTTTAATGTGGATTTCTTACTGAAGATTACTTACTACTTACTCCGGTTCTTTCCCTTTACCGATGACCGACAAGTATTATGATATCCTTTTGGAGCGTCAATAAAAACTCGAATATTTTTACAAAAGGCATGGCATTTTAACTGAACGTACTGCGTACGCAGCATTTGCCTTTAGATGTACTTGGCAACAAAAATGTATTATTATGTAACGGCTTATAAACTCGGGGAAATAGTAATACTATTTATGTATAGGAAATTACTTTACATATATAAAAAAATATCATAAAATTTATGTTTCCGTTGTGTATACATACACGAGTAATAAAGTGGTTATGTGTATATATATATGTAAAATGAAAACTTACGGGTTATTTTCTCCTTAGAAAATGATATGCTCTTACTTCCACATTTGCAACGTACTATAACAGACTTTTATAAATTTACATAATAATAATGATCGATAAATTTTATAGTCTAGGCAATCGAGAAATAGTATGTATGTATATTTCTTAATATAATGCTATAGAACAAGAAGAGCTTCTCTTCAATGCAAATTGAAGACGATTTTTATGGAAAAATTTCTTCGTTTTCTTTTTTTTTTATTATTTTCAAATAAAAGCATTATTATTACAAAAAAAAAAAATTTGCATAATATCACTCGATATGTACTTCTCTTTGCTTTCTTGTTTTTCATTCAATTAGAAAACGCAATTGTATCTTAACTTAACCGAACCGTAGAGTTTAAAATAAATTTTAAAACTAAATTGTTTTATTATGGAATTCATATACAGCACCTGAATGTGTCACCTTCTACTTATTTAGATTTATAAGGGATATGGTTTAATCTTTTCTATTATTTTTTCTTTTTTGCATTGTATAAAAAATCACTTCGATAGATGGGGTATTGTCATTTTGTCAGCTCACTTGTGACGGGGCCTTTCCATCGGGATGAGAATTTGAATAAGTTACACGCAAAGTGTATTCATACTTCTAAATGTTAGCCCATCTGTTCGGACGTCCATCTATGCAGCCGTTAATCTGTTTCGTCGTTTAAACGTTTCAATGACTACTTTCGTCCGTACGCCCGTCAATCTGTGCGTGCTAGCGTTCATCCACATATGCGTCCTTGGTCATTTTCGTTAGCCCGTGCAGCTTTTATTTTCCCTTTGTCCGTCCTTCTTTCAATCTGCCTTTCTGCGCAGCTGCTTCTTTTTCCATATATCCAATCGGTCAGTCCTTCCCTCCCTCTATCCTTATTTTACATGCCTGCTCACCTTTTCTCCTATGCTTGCATTTGTTCGTCCTTTCATTTTTTTTATTCTGCCTTCTGCTCGTCGAAAGAATCATCCTTTTGGCCATCGTTCTGTCTAGTAATCCTTATGAATGTCTGCCTTCCAGCTAGGTATGTCCACGTCTTCACTTGTTTTTAATTTATTGCTTTATTCTTCTTTTCATTCGTCGGACAATCCAATTTTTTGCCCATTGTTCTGTGTATTAGTGCGTACAAACGCCTGCCTTTCCATGCATATATTTCTCTTTTTATTCGTCTGCCCGTTGGTTCTGGGGCGGTGCTGTTTGTCCGACCATCCGCCTTTTCTTTACATGCAAATCGTAGGAAATCGGAAATTTTTTTGATTTAATTCCAAAAATCGTCTTCAAACTAACATTTCGTCAAATCATCAAAGCATCATTTAAGGATTTACCGCAAACATTGCAAATGCATCCAATCATTATTTTGCTTACGTCTAAAACTCTACTTTGCACCTTTGCCTACTACTCTACGAAATTTCAAAACTCACATTAAACAATCGTAACTTGGACTTTCTTAAGGCTATGCAGACAATTTTCATCGATCGTCCATTATGCTCATAATTGCTTGTTAGATAACGATTGTTCAAGATTCGTTGTAAGCCTAAGTCCAAATATCTTACTTTTTATTTGATATTTGCATCATCATCATCATCATCATTATAAGTTACCGCAATATGTAGCAGGACAGCAGTAACGCTAGCAGCGGCTACCGTTCGTCATTCTCTGGGAAAATTCATAAATTCATCAGCACCTTTTCAAGTGAAAGGTAAACATGACGAAGACATTAAAGTCAAGCAAACGAAAAAAAGAGAAAAAAAAACAACATTCTCTTTAGCGAATACGAAGAATTCATGGCGTATACGTAATAAAGTCTAGTTCTTTACTCAAAAAAGTTAATTACACGTCATTGGTTGAACTATTGCGAATCACTTCATCCATCTATGCTTATGCCTTAAGTGTTGAGGAAATTATGGTAATGTTAACATAAAATGTGGTTTAGCATAAATTATCATAAACGTATTGCAAAAATGAATGAAATCAATACTAAGTTAAGTTCTTAAAAGAAAAGAAGGTTTAAGATGACTACATATTTAATATAAATCATGAGAGGATAGCAAAGCACAATAATTTTGTTAAAGCGTTCACAATGTATACAGCACCCAAAGGCCTTAAGATAGAGCCACCTTTTATTATGCCGATCGATTCTCGAATCATAATCTGAGCCTGTCTGTCCGTCTGATACGTGGGATTGGGCGTGTCTATGTAAATTTATTTTCAAGCTGCAGGTCGCAATTTTTGAGATATTTTGATGATATTTGATACAGTGACGTGTTTCGATATGGTGACGCGTAGAAAGAAATCGGAAAAAGAAACAGATAGAGACGTGGTGATCGCAACCTAGTGGGCAAACGGTAATCCTTATTGAAATTCTCACTCTCGGTTTGACTCTAGGTGTTCCCTCGTACTTTACGGTGCTTCTCTGTACTTGGGTTTGATTAGTTGTTCGTTTTAATTTATTTGTAATTGAAGCTGAAAGCGGATTGAAATTTATTATAAAGGTCCCTGTAATATATGCAAAATTAAAACAGTTTAAGAATAAAAAAATAAAAGCCTTAAAATGGAACATGGCTCATTAGTAAAAAATGATATAAACTTCAAAATAAGGTGAATATAAGGTCCGATGTGGACCATTTTTAATAGCGTTCGTTTTTGGGTCAAAACATGTCGATGTAACAAATTTTATCAAAATATCTCAAAAATCGCGACCTGTAGGTTGAACACAAGAAAACAAAACGAACCGACGGACAAACAAACTTATATCGATTTAGGCAATGATATAATAATGAGTTAGATATATAATATATATAATAGGCTAAAATTACATAAGCAGCCCTTTGGAATTATATGAAAGAAGCAAACTTACTGAGGAGCATAAAAGCAAGAGAGTAA